TAACCGTGAGGTTTGCTACTGTATTATGAGTGTTGTTATCCTCATTGCAATTATATCTTTTCGATTCTTGCTAAACAAAAATCATCATCAACAGGAGCATTTTTAAATATGATCATCACCATTACTACTTGTGTTCGTTTTGTGACAGCATATATGATTAATTTCACAAATATCTTTATTTTTATCATTATTAAATGTCACTAAGATAACCATTACTGCATCAATAAATCCGTAGCCTGAATTAGTCGAATTTTGATTTGAAATATTAATTAATATAATATTTGATCAATGTGATTGAATTTAGTTCATTGACCATGGAAAACATTGTACAAAATAAGTATTTTTTTTCTTATTAAACTACGTATTACATTATTTTATTAATACAATTGTTTTATTTATAATTAGATGCTGTCAATGTTATATTCATAATTATCATCATTGTCACTAATTTTGTATGTCTCGTTGTAGTCAAAACTGTTTTTGTTATAGTTATGGATATTACTAACATTATAATATTGGTAACAATACTATTAGTAATTTACTCCCTTTTCTTATGAGCCGATGAGATGACAAACCCTCATGCAAAAGAGAATTAGACGATTGGGAATTAACAACCGGAATCAAGTGAAAGGTTTATCTTATTGTTAAGAAAATGTAGGAAACATCTTAGAAAGCTTTTTTTTATTATATTGATCAACAGTCGATGAAAATATACAGTAAAGAATCAAATTGAAAGATAAATGAATTACAAGTATCATCATTTTTTATGTGATTATGATCTCATTGAGTAAGTGTCCTGATAAAAATTAGATAGAATACACGCGCGCACACACACACATAAACAAACACACACACACGTGCATACGTAAATATTAGGAAAATAAATGACGAAGTGGAAAATCTTTTAGTGTGATGCGTTTCATTCTTTCGGACTTCATTCAGACTAAAGTGAAGTTTACTTTGATATAACTACACATGCGCACAAAGGAAAGTGGATACTGAATTTTTTTTAAATGTGTGTTTGGGTCTAGCCAGTTTCATTTAGTTTCTTTTTCTTTTTGTTTATGTTTTTATAACTTTTGCTACTAAGTATGCCACATTCTGATAAGATCTGCCAAGAAAGGTGAAATGTTGTAAACACCTGGACGCAAATTTACTGTGGGTGATCTCGCGATTAAAGAACTTTCTATACACTTCCGTCTTAGTAAATTTTATCAGATTTTCCCGTGCTGTATCAGCTTGGTGCGTTTTTGATCAGGTGTCATAAAACGTGGCATCCACTGAGCAGAAACCTTCATCATGCCAAGTTCATTGTGCAGAATATTCTCAACTCACGAGATATGATTTATAGTCATTCGCACGTCATCCATCACATGCGATAAATGCAATCAATGGTGGTGGCAGTTACAGGATATCCAAATATTGGATCATCTTCAAGACTCACCCTTCTACGTCTACTTTTGAACTGTTGATAAAACTGGAGCACCATCCCCTAATATAGCAACAATGTCAACATAAATGTCCTTGAGTCCTAAATCCATTTGAAGTTTACCTGGAAAGAAACAATACTGTTATTAATAACAAGAGTTGAAATTAATACATGCAGGATTTCACAGTTCTAGCATCACTCATTCAGTCAACCTATGAATTTTTCAGATCAGTCAGTCAGTTATGTGCCATACGTGATACACGCTTAGGCGATCATGTATCTTTCGATACATGACTGACGAGGCAGATTTTTACCCGCAGTAGGTGGACATTTCTTTCTGCGGTAGACCAGTTGCCATCCAAGGCTATAGAACCCTGTCTGTCCTGCTATTTACCCATAGTTGGGGTGGGGAGAAGAGAATCCATACCCTTTCCCAAGGGTATTAGTACGTAAGTGAATGTAATGGATTCGACTGGAATTCGAACTCAGTTCTCCGATTCCTCGGTCCGAGCCACTATCCATTACTCCACCTCGGATCACCCCCTTAAAAAGTTTTATATAATTTTCTCCTATGTATGTATGTATGTATGTATGTATGTATGTATGTATGTATGTGTGTGTGTGTGTGAATGCTTGGATTAGTTTACATATATATATACGTGTGTATGTTGATGTGTGTGTATGCACGCGCGTTTGTGGTGAATTACAAACGCCAAGTAAAATAATAACATCTATAGACATTAGCGATCTTGAATTCACCAGAACTATTGTGTTTTAATCAGACCCACCGAAAAATAGTTGAATAAATTGAATTCACAATTTGTCCTGATCAAGATAACAACTAGACGCATGATTGAAAGCACCTCGCCCCAAAGGTAGGGACAATGTTTGCATTCAATCCAAATACACTTTCTCTTTATATATAAACAAGAAAACTTAACGAAATTGTTTTTTTTTTAATTCTTTGTCATTTTCAAACACACACACACACGAATATATATATATATATATATATATATATATATATATATATACACGATAGGGTACTGGAAAGTTCTCCACCCTACGCACTACCCAATTTCTGACCAAATGATCAAACATGGAAAGGTTGAATGAGGTGGAGCTGAGAGATTCTTTAGCCTCACCATATTGGCCACCCTCCTTCAGTCAACAAGACTTTCAAATCAGTTCATTTGTATAGTAAGTTCGATCTTTACTTGCTGTCCCACGCCCATTACTTTTTACCAAAGTAAACTAAGTCAAGTAAGCATAAATATTTACAAAGACACAGAGATGCACGAGCAAGTACAAACACGCACTCGCGCACACACAAATACACATACAAACACACACACTCACACACATGCATATATATATATATATATATATATAGATAGATAGATAGATAGATAGATAGACAGTTGAATAATCTAGACATATGTCTATTTTTCTTTTTATCTTCTCAAATTCACGGATCAATTTCTTAGTGTTGGTATTTAACTCATTAAGAAAGTCGTCATAGTATTTCTCATTCCTTTTATTTTCTCGAGTGCTTTCAGTCTCATCCAAGATTATCTTCAGATGTGAATTGCACATGGATCTGCACTCGACGGTTAGCAGATCATCTCTCAGCTCAATCCTGTAACTGGCTTCCTTGAAGGACATTGAGTGCAAAGTCTATTCTTTAATGTTTTATGGTGGGACACATACTACACTTACCCCAACATTAAATCGTGTATTCAATCTTAAATGAATAATTCAATTTGGTTCGATTAATTTTTCGATGCAGGAAGCAGGCAAGAAATATGAAATGAAGAAAATTGTAATTTGAACAAGGCAATTCTGAAGAATACTCAGGAACCGATAGAATGTCTCACTTCAGATCTATTATAGGGTTACATTACTAAATAATGACAACCATGAAAGAAATAATCAGGCGACATCCTTGCCAAGATCTTTTTTTTATTTTCCAAGGTTTTATTTAAATATACCAATTGCTTTCTGTAGAGTTGCAAAGCAACATTTTGTCCATCTTCAAGTAATAAAGAATTTGGTTTGAATCTCACTAACCGTTCGGGTTTAGATAATGAAGCTTGTCTTAGTATCTACAAACGTTTCCGGATTTTCATAACAAATTGCGTGTGGCATTGTAAGGAAGTGTTTTGTGAATTAAACTAGGTAGACGAAACTGTTAGTAAGTTGTCTATAGCTGTGCTGATGGTTGATCGTTCGAGTGTAGAGCGCTTGTTTCATTACCAGTAAAGATCAGAATGAAAAAAAAAACATTTCTAAAATTCTCAGAAACTTAAATAGTGTTCGCTCAGCACAGTTGTAGTATAAAACACAGGTTGGTTTTACGTATGATGAAGAAACTCAAAATGTGCATGAGTAGACGTCTACAACAGAGATTAGCTAACCACTTTAGTAAACTCCATAGTCTTCCGAATCTGATAGATGCCTATAAATGAATGTTCGTTTCCGTAGTTGATCGTCGGGTGCCAATCTGAGTATTTCCCAGTGATGACGTCATGGCTCTCAGGGTTACTTGCCCATCTCCTCTTCAAGTAATATGCAACAGTTTTTATTGGACTACATGGTACCATTATCAAGGCGCAGTCAATAACGATAATTATTGAACACCTAATATGGATTGCCTTACAAGATTAAAAGCCACCAACTGATCTGCCTTTTAACTGTAAAGAAGTGGGTTCATGCCTTAGCAAAGAGCATTAGTACGAAGTAAACACAAAACGCAAACTACTGTCCCAGCCAGAGTTTGAACTCGCTTCAACAATTTAATTCTCCATGCCGTCAAGAGGTAAGCCACTTGTGTGCGTGTATAAAGAAGTGTTTATGCGTGTGCGTGTGTGAGAGAGAGAAGGAGTTAGTGTGTGCGTGTGTTAGAGAGAGAGAGGGAGTGTGTATGTGTGTGTTAGAGAGAGAGAGTGTGTGTGTGTTACAGAGAGAGAGGGAGTGTGTATGTGTGTGTTAGAGAGAGAGGGAGTGTGTGTGTGTGTGTGTGTGTGTGTGTGTGTGTGTGTGTGTGTGTGTGTGTGTGTGTTAGAGAGAGGGGGAGTGAGTGTGTGTGTTAGAGAGAGAGAGGGGGGAAGTCTATTTTAATGTGAGAATACGTGTTTATATCATATTTTAAACTTACGGTTTGAAAAATCTTTTCATAAAATCTTTTTGTATTTATGCATATATGCGTTATACTTGTGCTCCGTAAGATCTGTACACGTGTAAAATATAAACGTATATAAGCAATTACATATCTTTGCATAAGAAGTATACATTTGGTTGATTGATACGTTTTTTTACGGATTATCAACCAGTTGCAGGTTATTTGAAACCAGAATTTTATTTTTAGATTGATTTTTTTTTTTTGCGATAATAATGATTTAGTGATACAAGTCTGACAAATCATAGCTGGAGTGGGGGGAAGAGGTGGTTTCATGCCTTTCCCAAGAGTATTTACGCGTAAGTGAATATAACGAGCCCAACTGAAATTGGAATTCGGCTCTCCGATTAACAATTCTGAGCCATTATCCAGTACCACACCCGTACATCTAAGCTTACAGCACCTGTTATTCCTAGGCTGTCAGACATCTAGGTAGTGACCGGACTCAACGTTGCTTAACTTCGGTGATCGTACAGAGACCAGTGTTTCAACGTGATATGGTCGTACGCCCAGTATACATTTGAAATCGTTAAAACATACATGCGCGCTCTCTAGCATTATTTTTTTTTTTTTTTCGAATCGAACTTAATGGATTCGAACGCCAAAATTCATGTCAGGCGCTACAATATCTTTCCGAATACATATAGATAAATTTAGTTTAGCAGAATGGTTGCTGTCATTGGCATACGTGTGTTCGTATCGTTTGTTTGTTTGGAGAGCCACGTAGGTTTTGATTTAAAATACACAGCTATGCATATAAATACGTCTATTGCTATCAATTCAGTGATCTGTATATGTACACTGCATATCACTAGATGCACACAGGCCAACACAAGGTATATGTCTACATACATATATATGACTATACTTACCAAAACTAGCAACTATACATCCTTACGTATTACTATGCATATGTACGGACATATACACATATTTTATAGGCATATCTCTCATACGCATAAACAATCATATATTTCACAATTATTTGGATGCATTCATTGGCGCACTTCGTTTCAATGAATAAGTCAATGTCAGTTCTGTGAGAAAGAATGAGGCCAACACATGCATGCATACGCACATATATGCATACGCACATATATGCATACGCACATATATGCATGCGTACATATATGCACACACATATAGTCTTTACTCAGGGGGGGGTTCCATAACTCACATTAACTCCCGCTGACTTGGAAGACCTACAAGTTGAAGCAGAACCATTTGGAAGCAGCATTTAGCCTCAAGATGGTGACATGTGACCCGCAGGATTCATATGCGCGGTCAATGGCATTGGCAGGTGAAGGGGAATTAGCAGATTGTCGGAGAAAGCAGGCACGGGGAGGGCAAACTAACAAATATATGGTCGAATGGAAGAATGGAGAGAGAGGAAAGAGGAACAAGGAAAAATCTGAATGAAAGGAAAACGGGAAAAGAAAATAAAAGATATTTCGCATGAAATAGACGGCAGTGTTTTGGGTGTGATGAAGAAAGAAAGAAAGAAAGAAAGAAAGAAAGAAAGAAAGAAAGAAGGAAAATTTCGGAACTGTGTAAAAATGTCGATAACTGAAGGGTTAAAATGAAATGTAAAGAAAAAGAAATGTAAAGTTGATAAAAAACAAGAAGTAAAAATTAGGAGTAAAAAGGGAGGTAATCAGACAAAAACTACAAAAAAAGTGAAAATCGGATAAAATAAAGAGTAAAGTGAAATAATTAATTGGAAATATAGAGGGATAAATTGAATTCTCCATTATTTTCTCTTGTTTCATCCTTTTTTTAAATTTTCTTCTCATCATCTTATGTCCTTTTTTTTTTCTCTTAAATCTCGTTTATTCTTTTTTCTTTTCACCTTTTCTATTTCCGCTCTAAGTAAACATTTCAGAAACAAAAATCAGCATGTAGATATGAACGCATTTAAACAAAAAGATCTTGTATATATATATATGCACCATATATGCAAAGTGAAAAGTTTTTCGGTCCTACCCAATTATCAAAATCTGATTAAATTTCAAAAGATCAGAATTTCGGAGAAGAAGAGTCCGAATAATTTCCAGTAATCCAGTGTATGATACAATGTATGATACAATAATTTTCAACACCAACTCATGTAGGATAATATATATGTAGGATAATATGATAATATATATAATATGATAATATTATAATCTATATATCATACGATAATAAGATTATATATATATATATATAAATACACGCATACACACACACACACATATATATATATATATATATATATATATATATATATATATATATATATATATATATATATATTATCATCAGTGCAACAGCATTATTTTTTTTCTGACTCTGATTAGTGCGAAACGTTCTCGTTCCCACCAAGAAGACATTTCCAAAAACATTCTGAAGTTTGAACATTAAAAGTTGATAGAGCTGAATACTTTACAGCACTTCCTTCCTGATATATGTAAGGGGGTACTGAAAAGTGGTGTGTATATGTGATGGGGTGTCATGTATTTGTATTTTTGTGGAGACATGCATAAAATATATATTAAGTATAAATATAATACATGTATTAATATGTAAGCTTATACATGAATAAGTGTATGCATTAAGCGAACAAAATAATAATAATAATAATAATGTATATATTTGTACCGACACACATATACATTTGTGTCAAACCAAATAGAAGCAAACCAATAAAGCCAATAAATGAAAAGGTCATAAAAAAGACGAAGCAAGCAAAAATGGCGGCAAAACGAGAACGACGGAAAATAAGAAAAGTGGATAAAATGAATATAGAGACAAATACGGTTGCTTGGAGAGGAAAAGGGATTGGAGGAATTCAAGAAGAGTGAAATGGGTTAAAAGTGAGAGGGGGATGATAAGGAAGAGGCAATTGTCACTAATCCGGACACGATACAATGCAGCAATATATGCTGTGAAAACATTATCAAACGATTGTGCCAGTAATCATGTCGGCGATGAAAGAGAATGTTTCTTTAATTGGCTATTCGAAAATTAAAGAGCTTATAATAATATTTGTAGTGATTATTGTCCTCTTTCATTTACCAAGAGATGAGGATTACAATGATGGCGATGATAGAAACTGATAGTCGCGAAGAAAATAGCGACATAGACGACGATTATGATTATCATAGAAAGGATGTAAAGTCATCATAGAAAGAATAAAGAATGAGTTGAGCAAAGTGATGGGGGTCTGCTTGTCTTCCATAATTAAGCCGTATAGCGGTTGAGATTTAAACTAAAAAATGTTATGCTTTCCTTATAATTAGTGAACCCTGACGAATTTTGATTGTAAAGCTCATGAGGACAATGAGGAAAATAATGAAAACGATGTTCGTGAAAGAAGGACATGGAAAGAAGCTCGGCCTATTAGCCCAATTCTGATTTTATTTTGATATAAAAAATAATAATATACGCAATGAATTGGACTTAAAGAACTGGTGGTGGTGGGGGGATGGCATTGATAATAATGATGATGATGTAATAGCATTGATGGTGGTGGTGGTGGTATAATGGCATTGATGATAATGATGTAATAGCGTTGGTGGTGATGTTGGTGGTGATCGTGGTGTTGGTCGTGGTGATGATGATGATGATGATGATGATCATCATCATCATCATCATGTAAATGAAGTACAAATAAGAAAAAGCTAACAAAATGAAGTCTAAAAAAATAAAGAAATGTGTAGCGGGGGTGGGTAAAAAAATGTTGCCGTTGTGTTCATGACTTCGTCAGTTCAAAGACTGTTGCGGATGCGAAGTAGTTTCAGAAGATGGAGGAAATCCCACAAGGACAAATTGCTCATCACAAAAGGAACGCACTGGGCTTTGATGCCGCCAAGCAGCCACACGCGGCTGGGAAGAGCTTCCTTTGCGAACAAGACATACCATGCCTTTCACAGATACACGAATACACCCACCAACACAGCCAACTTGCTCTCACTTTCACTTAGACATTATACAGGTTCGCCATGTTATATCTTTGTATGTAGGTATATACATTGGCACATTTATCACTTATTCCACTAATCAGTCTCTCCTATTCAATGGGTACAAGATAACCACGCTCTTTCTGTCTGTCTCTCTTTCTTTGTTTCTTTCTTACTTTCTCTCTCTCTCTCTCTCTCTCTCTCTCTCTCTCCTCTGTCTTTCCCGCTCATGAATTAAATCAGTCTCTTCAATATTACTCCCATTTAGAGCTACGTGATACGCATTGATCAGTTCATCTCTTTCACCCACATTCTTAATCGATTCTTAAATGAAATATGCAGCTAGGAACACACATATATCCAGGGCATTACATACATGTCTCCACACCTTTATCTATGTCGACATGTTTTATTTATTCCATTTTATGTTGCTTGCTTTTGGTATTTGGTGCGTGTGACACACACACACACACATATATATATATATATATATATATGTGTGTGTGTGTGTAATAGTATATATATATATATATATATATATATATATATATATATATATATAGATTGATACAATCATACAAATGTGTTTGAAAGCGTGTGCGTTGCGTATGCTTGAGCGCGTATGAGTGTGAATGTGTGTAGTCATGTATATGCCAGTATGTGCATGCATGTACACTTGTGTATTTACGTAGACATATGTAAGTCCATCAATAAGTCAGTAGCCTAATACTGAAAAGGTATTTATTTGTACCACAAATATTTATTCTTCAATATTACCTTATTCTCTGTCAATGCACTTGATTAGTTGGAGATTATAAATGACATAGATTGAACATTATACAGTGATAACTTCAGATCAATATTCAGCTAATAAACTGCGTGTCAAGCTACAGACATATTGATGCACCTTCGTATATATACCTTTATATATTAATAGTCTTCTTTTAATTCTCAAATAAAAAAGCCACTTGGATTCTATTTTATTTAACTTTTTACAGATACATTCCACTACTTATTCAATAAGTTACTTGATGAAGATCTGAATATATGTAAATGTAAATATAAGATTATATACATGTACATTGATACGCTTTTAGGGCTTAATCATTCAGTGGGGAATATTATTTAATTACGTGTCTCGTGTAGCGATCATTCACTCATATACACGCTCATACACATATACACGCTCTTACACATATATGTGTGTGTGTGCGCGCGCGTGTGTGTCTGTACAGTTTTCACCTGATATCAAACGACTCATTCGACACCAGAAGAAAATTACAAAAAGGCTTAACAGACATTCCTTGTTCATTCTATGTAATAGATGTTTAAAGGAAGGATTGTTGTCGTAATAGACTTTTATATATATATATATATATATATATATATATATATATATATATATATGTATGTATGTATGTATATATATATTGGAGCATAGGAGAAGAATGCACAAGAGTGTTTAGAAAACAGTATAGACATAGGACTCAACACGGCATTGTGACAGTTTCACACTTCAATGCGATCTTGAAACCATGCTCTAGGGTTTTTACCGCATATCAATAATTTCGAATATATGGTAAAAGTATTTATAGTTCCCCTAAGTTATTTATTTTTAAAGCTAATCTTTATCCTTGTCAATGCATTCAGTCTAGTATAATCAGGATTTAAATTAAACGTAATTTTAAGATGGACATTCGGCGAATAAGTACATGCAGGATTGTGAATCTATTAATTAATCTAATAAACTTATATATATATATATATATATATATATATATATATATATATATGTATGTATGAGGTGTGTGTGTGTGTGTGTGCGCGCACAGGGCTGGTTTATCATTTAAGCTAGTATAGGCTGTTGCGTATGGACCATCAAGCTTTTATAAAGCAATGATTTAAATTTTCTACATGTTATAACTTCTAAATAGTTTCATAAACTGAAATGATAACAAACTCGTATTTATTTTGATTGTTTTGTTGTTATAATGCAGATTATAAAAAATTATTTTTCTCCTATGGTTGTGTTGAAATATGTGCTAATTTGGATTGCAATAAATATTAAAATGGTGCTATTTCTTATAGAATATTTTTTACTGACAAACAAAAGTTAATTTAAAGAATTTGCAGTCAGTTTACTCCGAGCTACGTAAATATCGCTAAAATATATCATGTGTAAAAAAAATATTCAACACTGGTGTGGGCGATTTAGAAGTGGGGGCTCAGTCTGAGGGTGGGCATCATTTCATTAGCTTAGGGGTCTCAAAAAAACTCATAACTAGACCCTATATATATATATATATATATATATATATATATATATATATATATATATATATATACACTGTTACATTAGAATATGTATATAACCACTACAAAACTGTACATCTTGTTTCAACGTTAAAAAAATTAACGTTTATTCAGGTTGAATAGCATCGTGATTCCCACCTGAAGAAACGTTAATTTTTGAACGTTGAAACAAGATGTACAGTTTTGTAGCGGGTATGTACATGGTCTAATGTAACAGTGCATAATAAATAAATATATATTGCTCTACTTTTGTATTGAACGCTGTTTTAAATTAATCTTTTGAATGCTGAAATCTGACACGTCGTTCTTTTACATTTGGATAGATAGATAGATAGATAGATAGATAGATAGATAGATAGATAGATAGATAGATAGATAGATAGATATACGTGTGTGTGTTTGTCATTGGTGTGTGTATGTGTAAGAAATCAAATATAAATGCATTTGTAAAGACAATATTAATTAAAAATAAAGAAAGAAAGACAACAGGAAAACATTTTATACAACGAGTTTCCTTCCTTGAGGAACTTTATCAAGGCAAAAGCAGACATTATATATATATATATATATATATATATATATATATATATATATATATAAAATTGACATTCAGGTCAACATTCAGAGTTGACAGTGTGTTTCAGTGTGCGACCTGAGAGCTATGATAAAAAGCAACATAAATTAGATGAAAGAAATACTAGTCACGAACTCATCACGATAAACATATCTATCTATATTTATATTTAAACATACATCTATATAAGCTATTTATATGTCTGTGTGTGTGTGTGAGAGAGAGAGAGAGAGAGAGAGAGAGAGAGATTTGTTGTCTGGCAAATTTTCTCTCTATCTATTCCTCTTTCTATCAATCTCTTTAATGCCTAACCCTAACCTCTAAGAAGGGCTTTTGCGCTCTTCACTGACGTCATCAAACGGTTCGCGTGTTTTAGCGCGCGATTATTTGGCTGGCGGCGAGAAACCTTGTCAAATAAGTGATGGCAATTTCTCGTCTAAATGATGAAGAAACATACCATCTATGGACTCGCGTACAGCGTTCAACTCTACGACACCCCTGTCCCTTTGCCGACTGTCCGTCCGTTTGTCTGTCTGCCTGTCCGTCTTTGCTATTGGCTTACAAGTGATAGCTGTCTCTTCGGCTCTATTCATATCTTCAAAATGTTTCTTTCTTCTTTTCGTTCATATCTATTGTTATTGTTTTTCTGCTATTCTTTCTTTCTTTCTTTCTTTCTTTCTTTCTTTCCCGCTGCATCTCTTTATCTCTTTATTATTAATATCCCTTTCTTATATTATGTATTTTCACTTGTCTCGCTATGTTCTTATCTATCAATCTTTTTATCTATTTTTGTTTATTAATATCTATCTATCTGACTCAACCTTTTCATACCTGTTTTTCTCTTCATATATCTTGTCTCGTTTAGTAATTTAATATTCTTCCCTATTTTTTGACTCTTATATTTCCATGTAGTCACCTTTTTAAATCATATAAAATACCTTCTTTTTTCGCCTTTCATCTTCCTCTTCTTTTTATTCACTTTCCTTCTCTCTCTCTCTCTTGCTCGCTCTCTTGCTCGCTCTCTCCGTACGCACCCCTCCTCTCGTTATTTCTCTTTCTCTTCTCCTACCTCCTTTATTTCTTCACTTTCCACCTTTCTTTCTACGGCTTCCTCGTTTTGCAACTTCTTTCTCTCTAGCTTCACCTTCTTTCACTCTTTTTACGCCTTCCTCCTCCCTTCTTTCCTCTTCTCTTTGCAACTTTCTTTCTACACCTTCCTCTTTTCGATCTTCCCCTCCCTTCTCTGTTTCTTTACTTTTCTCCTCACATCCTCCTCCTTCTTCTACCCCTTCTTCCCCTTCAACCTCTCTTCCTTTCGGTCTCTTCCTCCTTTCTTTCCTTGCTTTCTACCTCTCGTTCTTCTGCCTCGTTTTCTTTTCTCTATCTTTTCTCCTTTCGCTTTCTCCCTTCTCCTCTCTTTCTATATCTTCCTCTTCTTTTTCTATTTTTGCTTTATATTTTCACTTTCTCGCATTCTCTCTCTCTCTCTCTCTCTCTCTCTCTCTCTCTCTCTCTCTCTCTCTCTCTCTCTCTGAATGTGCTTCCATTTCTCTTTCAGACACAAAATTTTGGGTATATTAGTTGTTAATATACCCCAAATTTTGTGACGGAATTGTTCGATATGAGACTAATGGATAGCACTTTGGAAAAATTCAACGACCTAGAATCCTCAAATTTAAAATGTGCATCCTCATTTTATTATATATACATTCCTTTTCTTACGTATGTAAGCGCCTTCTACTTTAAGAGCCCCCTATTTTAAATTGTTTTAAAAGTACGTTTTGATAAAAACATACAAAAATAATACTTTTTATTAACAACTCATAATCGGTAACTGTATTTAATAGCGTTCCCGGAATTTTGTCAAAATATATATGGTAATTAAAAATGAAACAGAAAAGCCCTTTAGTATAATGGAATATAATAAATAAAAAGACAGAAAGAAAAATAGGAAGAAATTGCAATCTTTGAAAGTACGATATTATAGAAGTTAAGAATATGAAGAATCAAATAAATAAAAAGGAATGAAATCATTCCGAAATATTGGCATTGCTAACGCGTTCCTTTAGAGAAAAAAAAACGTGAAATCAATAATAAATCTTGGTAACGCTATTAAAATGCATTCACCCGTCTTTTTTGTTTTTAATTGCTAAACGTGAAACAATGCTATGGTTATTACTATTTTTGTCAGTCTCAAGTAAAAATACTTAGTACTTCCATTACCTACAATGGGAAGCAACTCTTTTTTTTTAAAGTTCACATACTAAAAAGTCATTAACCACTCATTTGAATAAATGTTTACCAGATTATCTGTGGTATTAAATATTAAATTATATATTGCTAATTTTGATTCGATGTAGCTATTCGTTTATTGCAAAAAGAATTCAAATTCATTACTCCATATTCAGTCATTATGCTTACATTGAATATCTACATTGACTTTTCATTAAACCGTTAACTAGCATCTTTCTTTTAGCATCTACTCAGCAATTGATAATTTTATTGACGATGTTTTTCTCCTTAGCATATTTTGATGTTAAATATGGAAACAAAAGTAATTGTTGTTTTCTATCTGTCGATAACTGACAGTAAAATAACCACTAACCTAGAAGATAGAATTTTGTTCTTATAATATACCATACAATAAAATAGGGAATTTTCTGTAGTATTGTCATTTTGAAGAGGAGAAAAATAACTTAAAAAATATATAATCTTCAAATGAAGACAGCAGTTTAAGAAAAGGGATAACTTCAGTCTTTCTACCGTAAAATCGAACATTGTGACATCGATAATGTCCCCATCTGATTTCAATTTTTTTCTCACTCCAGCTGAGAAGAACATCTTCCTTTTTTATTGGAATGTTTCAGTTTGCAGATTCTTTGATCTTATTTTTGAGTTAGTTGCAGTTCATTGACTGAAGCACATCAACAGAATGTATGAAATTATTGAAAGTGTTAGAAACGTTGAACTCCGGACTGCCATGAGAAAGATTGCAAAGGAGGTCCACGATTGTACGATATTGGGTGACAAATGCCCATAATACTCAACTGTTAAAAAGTAGTGTGCCACTTTGTATCTTGGAGATTTTGAGACCCAAGTTACAGCCCGGTAAATCTTCAACAGTTTTAACTCCTGAAACTGTTGATATAATGTTCTTGTTCTAATTTTGGATTATCGACAAATGACGTCTGAAAGAATTTCTAATATATTAGAAATATCTTGATCAAAACATGGAAGTTTCCATTAAAAGAGACACTGAAAGAGAAAATGGCTAGGGAAACTGTGGGAATATGTTCTCCTTTTGCAAGACAATGCACCTTACAAGACAATGGATGATTTGAAGAATTTCAGATTTAAGTGCAAGAACCACTCATTCTATTCGCCCGATAATCCATCTATTTCCTTTTTTTTTTTTCAAACCTTAAAATGAATTTAAAAATGAGAACATTAATTGAATACTTCGGTGACGATAGCAGTATGTCAATGACCAAAAATCAGAATGTTTTAGAAGAGTTTAAAAATTTGAGAATTGTCGTAGCAAATGTGCTGAACTGCAAGGTGAATGTATGGCATATGTTTCTTAGCACATTTTGATCAGATCAAGAACTTTTCAGCACCTCCTCATATCGATTAAATTTTATTATATTTATTCAAAACGTTCTATCATATTTATTCATTGAAGTATTTTCCTAACTTTCTTTCACACTATTTCAAGATAATGTGTGCATGACATCAAAAAATAACGATTTGGTTTTTGATTCTTCGAAAAAAAATTAATATCTAGAACTATGAGCAGCAAAAGGTGAGTTGCATGAAGTGAAATAAGTGATTGCTTGAAAAATATTCTTGATGTGGAAGAATGTTTTCCTAGCTAGATTGCTTCATATATCGCATTTGCAAGAGAAGGATGGACATTGTCATCAATCAAAATGACTGGTCAACTTCCTGGTACAGAAAATGCTCCATTTTCTTCAAATTTGTCATTCAAACGAGCCAATTACTCACAGTGTCGTTTCGCAATAACATTTTGTCCAATTTTCAGTAATTCGTAATAATGAATTTTGATTCCCATCAAACAGACAAGAATTTGCCTCACAATGAATTTCATTTGACGATCGTCTGTCTCTAGCTACGACTTTCTGTGCCCCATAGATTTCTGTGTCTGTCAAGAAAAGAAAGACAAAGCTTTAGACGGTTACCAATATTCGTTTTCGTAAATTCCAAGCTTCTGGCTTTATCCTAAGACTTATTTGACTGGCTTTACATGCTTCAAACTTCAAAGCTACTACTAAGGTGCAAAATATAACATCAACTGAATATTAATTCGGATGGATTTACAAAAGCACATTTCATTCAAACTTGACAAATAATACAATTTTTACTGTGCTTTCCTTATTTTTTTATTCATTTATTGTTGTCTGAACACTTAATATGGAAAATAGCATGAAGAATGACGTCTGATGCAGTTTTATATTTTGGTAAAATATTCTATAATAGTCCTTAATATACATTGCATGATAGGATGTGGAACAAATAGGACTCGTTTATACATTGAACAAATTTAAGCTTCATCAATGAATGAAATATAGAGGAAAAAAATTCTGATATTTTTATTTTTGCCTTGTTTGTTCTTCATTGGTTAATCAGCCCTCGCGTGTATCTTTCCCGTCAAGCAGCGTTCGTGTGTATAATCGATGTAAGTATATCATAATTCTAGTTTATCTATTCGGAATTAGGATGATAATGTTTATTTATTTGTCTCGCGCTATTAGCCGCTTGTACTTTTACCTTATTTTTTAAAAAATTAATGGATTCGTGCGAATATTTTTAATATGGATGTTATTTTACTATTTCACATGTTTATAAATTATGGTTTACTTCATGTCACTCTTATAATTTTATAAATTTTATCAGATTCTCTAAGTATTACCAAGTTATTGAAACTGCAAGAAACATTACGTCGCAATTAAAACGGTCGTAAGTCGTAATTACGGGTTGGGCATATGGTTTACAAAGACAATTTTAATGATGACAAAGTTATAAAGAAAACATTAATGGGAAATGTAAGCTCCATGTTTTCATTTATCAACTTTGTTCTTCAAAATTAAAGTACAATCATATTTAATTAAATTATTAATTGAAAAATATTTTAATTATATTCACCATTTTTTGCAATATGTTTTAATTATATTCCACATTATTTGCAATAACTTTTAGCTTCAATTTTGAGTAAAATTCCCCAGATTTAGACACGAAAATATTTTGGATGAACTCTGGAATTTGCTTTTTATTAGAGAATATTTTTTTCCAGGCAAAGCATTTTTCCAAACAAACTTTCAAATTTTTTTCTTGTGCTATTCTTGCTGTGTGCCACTTTATGTTGCACAGGAGAAAAACATTTTTCCTATTAACAAGCAAAAGGCGCTTTTATTCCTAACTATTATGGATATGTTACAGCTGCTGGACTTATAAATATGAATGTAGTGTTTCATTGTATTTTAAGTGCTCTAAATGAATAATGCACAAAATTAACTTCTTCCATGGAGCTTGAATTTGGTGTCGGCTGTGAAAATTTATCCTTGTAAATCCACTGCCTTTTGCTTTGAGCATTATCATATGCAACTCATTTTTCATCACCTGATATGATATTTTTAAGGAACTGTTTGTTAGGTGGATACATTCGTCATTACAATTCGTTCTCCAAAACGGAAATTACATATGACTGAACTTAATAGTTGTAGAACACTTTCATCATTGACTTTCTGTGCTGTTTATTTATATGAAACAGATTGCATAAGAATAATATTCCAAAGTTTGTCTTTACTGATAAAACCACCAATGACAATCTTTCTTTTTAGAATTCTCGCAAATTTAGAAATCAAATCATGGTTGGGAGAACAAACCCGCTACTAGATCAAATAAATGTCTTTGAAATCCATTTTATTCAGATAGTCATACATTTTCTTCACTGAATGTGATGGAGCATTGGAGTCCACTTTCTGAAAGCGTTTGATTTCTTCTCGAACTATGGCACCATGCGTGCCTTAAACACCAAAGTAATTCCCGATGAACACAGAATTTAACACCTATAATTCCAGATCAAAACAACCCTCAACTTTGTTGGCATCTCCACCTATGATGTCCTTTTCAGCCAGCAGTCATCCAGCCTTTGTTCCATCTATTTAACCCATCGAGATTAGCATATCATTCGTCAGTGAAAGAAGTATTTACTTAATTATAGCGATAAAACATGAAGCGGTTAATAATAAGATATTCAATTTAATGTTAATTTTTAAGAAAAAATGAAAATTTGTTGTTTGTTTTATGGGGTTCTTTTCTTTCGTTCTTATGCAAAAGTCATCGCTGCAAAGAAAATAACTAATAAACAAGATTATTGGACAATACGATAAAAAGGATGCAATTATTGTTTTTACAATCAGTTACACTTTTAATCCTTAAACTGTAGGCATCATCAACGGATGTTTCATTGGACATAAGCAGATATCATTAACTGATGATTTAATTTTTTTCCAAC